AAGATTCGAGGTCAACAAGTTTTATCAACAGTTAGCGACGCGTAGCTAGTCTACAATAACCTCACGAAGGACACTTTGTAATACAAGCAAATGCTTTAAGTCAAATTATGGTAACGAACATGGCGTTGCAAGCTGTTATATAAGCTAAATAAGTAGTCCAAGTGTTTCATGTAAAAGTATATTCTATGGAATGGTTATTAAATTTAGGTCCTGAAATAAGTTTAGCGAACTTACTTTCAGATTAATCGCTATCCCAGTAGACTTTGATACGCCTAAATTATATAGAAGAATAAAGGGAATTTTTTAAAATTGCAAATCTGCCTGTATTAAGAATTATATTAGAAACGAAAAACCCGGTTTATTTGAAATATACTGCTATATTAAAGAAATACTCTTTCTCTCGGTGTCTATACCTTGGCATCTGTCCTTACGTTCAGGTATACGTGAATTGTCTGAACAATAAAATAATAAAGGATTGTCTCTTGACGGATACTCTTAAAAGGGTTTATATATACATGAAACCTCATATGTGGCCCAATGAGTGCGAGAGTTGTTTTTGCGTGCGGTGATGCCTTCTTGTGACTAGGTTAGCTTCGACATGCGGTACATTTGCATTGCACGTATAAATGTCGTTCTTTCAACGATCAGCTTGAATATTCGACATACATGTGATACATATTCTCTACATCGTTTCTCGAAGCCAATAAGTAGGTACATGTATATACATACGTTGTCCTTTTAACAGGTGGCGTCTTGAATGGCTGCTGGCCTCAGCGGTGTGGGTTTTTTTTTGTTCCTCCGTCCTTCCAGTTTTTCATGCACCGGTAGTTGTTATTGGCTTTAAAAGTAAGCACGTTTGTACAGGTATTTTGACAACCTATATATCAGCGAGCAAGCACGGGTGGGTCGTGCGAGCTCTCTTCCTTAGCTCAGTGACTCTGAAGGGCGGATTGTGTTGTCGAAACAATCTAGAACATAGTGGTTCGTTTTGGTTGATTGGGTTATCGGCAATGTATAGTTGTAGTTGATAGCCGTCTGAAAGCACCTCGGAAATAAACCTCATTGAGAATGCGTTCGATGGTGGCGAGTGTTAAAGTTTGCGCTAACGTGTATCGTCAGACTGAAGCACCTAGCTGCCAAGAATTGAATGCGAACTCGAGTAGCTGAATACCGATTAGTTATTAATTCGCCTTCAAAGATCACACTAAGAGCGACGTTAAACCAAGTGCGGGCGAAGTGCAGCTGAGTAACCTCAAGATAGACTTCGTTTAGCTGCAGTAAGAAAATGGAAAAATAACGAAAGGACCCAAAATTCGATGTAGCAGAGATGCATTGCAAGTTCAAAAAGAAATTGCCTTTATGCCCGGAAAATCGAACACAGAGGTAAGTTTTGAATTATGCTAACTTGAAAACTGCTCGTAACGTTACAATAAATTACTTTTTTTCTATGAAGGTTCGCCATTCACGTTCGAGTAACGGATGAAACTTCGAAATCACCTTCTGGATGAGACTACGGCTACTACCGCGTCAGTAAATTATATCTCAAAGTGTTCTTCGACAGACTTGGATATCTGCGATTATATGCCTCTTTTTAGGCCGACCCAAATCGACGTAATATACTTGTGTATGCGTTTTTTCCAAAAAAAACATCTGTGTCCCTTATACAGGGTAGATCTGTGAAGCGTACTTTTTAAGATCAAATCGTTCTCCGAAATATGGTTGAATTCCATCAATACTCAGATATTTCACAATGCTGAAGTGTAAAAGTTTTATTATTAGTATCTTGGACGATTTAACGAAACAATATGAGTGGCGGCGTCTCACTTCATCCATTGCAAATAACGACCGCGGGCATTGTCAATGGTTTATTCGTTTAACGCGTAACCTTCCGGTCTATACTCCAACGGCATCGTACTATCACATTTTAGAAAAGATCGATTTGTTATTATCGTCTGCTGAGTGTTGCAGTCGCAGGATAGATGGAGCGCGTGATAAACATCCATAAGATTTCAGCTTAAGCGTTAACAGAAGTTCAGCTGTTATGTTCAGATGCTTCGAGTTTCTACCTTGAAAAAGTAGACTTCTACTTAGATACAAAGAAGTACGTTTCGCCAGGATAAATATAATTTTATTCCCGACCTGGCATACATTCATGACTAATCCACCATCGTACCATATGTATCGGCCATTGGTGCTGGGAGCTTTTGAGGCTTACCCAAAAAAACAACATTCATGTACGACAGCATATGGCTCGCACTAACCAGCAAAAAAGAACCGTTATCTCAATCGAAGTAGCCAGGCTTTGTAATGTGCTTTGTGTCACAAATCACTATATTTCAATCTGAGTGTGACAATGCTGGATACAAGTATTTTCGATAAATAAAAGGAAACTTCAGGCATGAAACTAGCGCTGGGATATATCTTGCTTTGTGTATCGATAGGCGAAAAGCAAACAAAAAAACAGAACAGAAAAACATTTGCTGTTTTTAGGCACATTTTTTTTAAAATTGCCTTTAAATTATTTAAATTGAGATTTTCCTAGATTGTGGCGCGGCATAATTGTATGAGAAAGGCATGAGGGTCGACAGTATGAGACAGAATGGTAAGATCTATTCATAACGGCTCAATAGTGGTTAAGTAATACGGTGGGTGTGGCTTTAGTACCAGCCAGCGACGAGGAACCGGAACTGCGAAATCCGTATAATATTGAATCCTTCAAACAGTAGACCACATCCTTTTCCCTAGCGTTCGTGAATTCCCTAATGTGTCTCGTTAGTACTTTCGGCAATCTCTGTTGGAAACCTAGAAACGTTTTAACATTTAGTTAGCTTAGGTACACGGACAAAAAATGTCAAATCCAAAGCTTTCATACTATAAACAAAATACGTTAAATGCTTCTAATTGTCTTCAGTTTATAGATACTGAATAGAAATATTTTACAGGTATAGTAATGAGTAAAATATATTTTAATAGAAAAGCTGGGTGCTTGTCTTCGATGGTACAGTGGTGTATGCATTCCGCCGAATCGCATGTAGCGAAGTAGAGGCATCGCGCATTACGGCCAACCTCATTTACGTTTTGAGATAGTATAAGAAAAATGTAAGATCTTCTATGATTAAGTTCATGTGAGCTGAATCTACACATCTGTCTGTTACTGACTGTCGGCTTTGAAGGTCGGATCGGCTATTACTTTGCCCTTTATCAGACCGGCTCTGGGACAAAATATCATACGAGTCATCAGCCTTTTAAGTTCACCTAAAAATGGTCACAGTTTACAAACTTATGTTTTTCTACTATATTACCTATATAGATACGTGTAGTGAAAAAATAAAGGATTATCATTGCGTATGAGACAATCGTCTTAGTGCAGTATCAACGTGGAGTTATTCAGGGTAACGCTATGCCACAATTTGTCACTCATTAAGTTTTGTGGGCCTTAAGAGAGTCATCTAGGTAGGTACAAAGTAACTGTAGACGGCAGGAATCTGTAGATAGCTAAGGTGCAAGGCAGAGAAATCGTCGATCGTATAAGAATCCCACAAAACTTTCCCTTGATACGAAAACAACGCTGGCACGCTTACTGTCATCGATAACATCTAAAGTGTTCATTGTTCACTCTGCAGAAAGCTTAAACTAAGCACTAATCTCTCATTGATACCCGTACCACTGTCGTCTGTTTCTGACAGCACTGGCTATTTCTGCGACTGCCATCAACGCAATGCCATAGCAAAACAAACCGGAAAAACAAAAACAGTTAAACTGGCTGGCTAACTATCTATCTTTACGGCAGGTTCACTCTGTTTCATCGGAATAGTCGGGCGAATAGTTAAGAGAAGCTTCTCGATCCATAGCTGGCGTCCAGAGTCGATCATCGTTTGATTTGTAACGCCTTCTATTTGTCGATGTATCCGTTTTTGTTTTACTGCTACTGTCCGCCAGTTCTGGTCGCTTGATGTTTAAATTACAAGCGAAAATTATCGGGGTAATGTCTTCGATTCGTAGGATCGAATCGCTGCGGTTCGCAAGGATGCGCTGGAGCTGCTGTCCGTCAAAGTAATTTTTTTCTTGTGTTCTGTTTTCGTTTAGGTTCGTTTGCCCCGGCATAAACGTGCATCTTGTGCCCACCAACTCATTCGCGCACGGCCACAGTCCACCTAATCTACACGAACCTAGCGTTTCACTCAAATAGGCATTTTTGCCTACTTGCGACGTTGTTGCTAACAACGATCGTTTACAGCGACCGCCAGCGAAGACCGGAACCGAAACGCATTCGCTGACCTCTTTTGCAGGCACCGCCGTTTACTTCCGCCGTTGCATCCAGATAACCGCTAGACGATTGGGCAGAAGACCTCTGGAAACCAATGAAATGGATTCACTAGACCCCTTGTTGTGATTGTCAGTCTAAATACTGCAACTGTTTACTCCTTACCTATACTAGCCAGAATAGCGCTTTTGAATTGCGGATCGTGATTGGCTGCCGCTACTCGGGGCTCTGCTCTGAGACATCAAGCGTCGTTCTCGCTTATTTCCATCCCATTGTCCGCTACCTGTCACTCCCAACTAACGGTTGCTTTTCGTTGTGTTTACCGGCCCTACTGTCACCGCTGCTAACGCTGACCCATCTGCCTCGATCGCCAACAGCAGCTTCATCTCTCATTTTATGACTACTGCTATTGTGCAGCTGTATTGCCACGAACGTTGGCCCTCCTATCGGCGGCGGTGATGACGCTGCGGCGGCAGCGTCTGTCACAGCAACACCACCGGCTATATATTCCCTGTGTCGGGTGCTTCAGCGTCATGGCAGTGACGGCGGCGGTAGTAGCAGCAACTGCAGTACCGATGCGTGGTGGGTGCGAGTTCATTCTCTTCCTCCCTTCCTCAATCCGGGCCCTTTCCCGTTCTGCGGGAAGAGGCTCAGGCGACGAGCTGTAAAGCCCCACAAGCCGGCAACAGGAACGTGGGATGTGAGACTGACAGCTGCGCCGCATCAACCACAGCCCAGCGCTATTATACGCCGGCTTTGATGCTAGCCAAAACGGACTCGCAATCATTGGAAAGTGACCGAAATCGCTCGATGATTAGCCGAACACCGTTACGTCAATGCGAGACCAGTGCAGTACGAACGAAAGCTTACGGGCGTTAGTCAGTTTGTCTATGCCACTGTAGACAGCTAGGTAGAAGGCGATAGGGCCATTAGCTAAAGCACAAAGCAATTTTACTGTGGCTGGCTGCGTGCGGCTCCCGCGACTAGGGAAATAGCGAGCCATTGTTAAGAATGTGAGCTGACGCTTGCTAAACCTCTTCGAGAGAATAATCGAGCAAAAAAAAATAAACAGAATAAATCGAAGCTGGTTATTGAATCAGTAAAGAAACAAGTGCAACCAACGGCAGCACTGAGGACCCTCGACTCAGGATAGAAACGTCACTGTTATGCCTACTCTATGTAGAATAGGGAAAAGTATCGAACAAATTAGGGCTACCGTCTGTACTAGCAAAACTGTAACAGGAAGTGTTAGAACTTTGCAATGCGTTGCAACGTACACATCGTTAATACCCCTACGAGTACATCTGTCTGAATACATAGACCACGTGGGTGGTTCGTATTTTTTGGATCGTTAAATGTAACTGTGCCAGATCCACTGATCATCTTGGCCAATGAAGAGGACTCGGGATACAATCAACAGTAGATAAAAAAAAAACGGGAGAAGCCGGCAAGTACGCTTCTGCGCTCCGCGGGGAAGTCCAGCAGCCTTGCCTAGCACCTTAAAGCTACAGACCGAAGGTGAGTTAATTACCACCTTACCGCAGTTCAACAAAGTGTCTCCGCATTTATGTATGCATGTGTTTTTTCTCAGGGTTAAACCAGGTGCTAATTACACATCGAGTTAGATACACGGCGAATAGAGAAAATTTCATGTCATAGTATTTCAAAGTTGCGCTTCGTGGTGGGTATAGTGGGTAGAACGAAAAACTTCACGATCAACGTGAGCTCTGCCAGTGTGTTCGATTAAACTCGCGAGCGGCATGTGGCGAAATAAAGCGAGAAAAAAGGACTATCCTGGGCCATTCCTGATTCAGGGTTGTACCTTTTGGCTTGTCTAGATGAAACTCGGACTTCGTACATTTCAGGCACACGGTTCCTCAGACCCATTATACGTTGCATGCTGACAAAGTCTCCCATTCGACTGACCGAAACAAGCGGAACAGGCTAAAGAGTTGTAAAACGCCACTTCACAGTGTAGTCTTCGTTTGCAGGCTTTTTTGGGCGCAGATGTCAGCGTGACGGTCGACCCGAATACATACGCGTGCCTGTTAGCCTTTGTGCTGGCGGTTTTGTGTCCCTGCCTGGTGCTCGACCACAACAGACACCATATGTTTGTCGCTAGAGTCGGTAGCGACGGTGGCGGCGGTTAAGAGAGGCCGCATAACTCTCCACTACAACAATTTGATCATTCAGTGAGCAGATTCTGAGAAGGCAGTGGTCTACCAGTTTACAGCACACGCCGCGTTGTATCGCATCACGGGCACGAACCACGGGCCTTTCGATTGCCGTCGCTGTTCTCATGGTCGACCGTTATTTTGTGCAAGTCGGTTTTCGGTCAACCTCTTGAAAAGTCCGAGTCCCGCGAAGAATTAACCATCGGATAATTTTGTAAGCGATGGCCGGACAGCAAAGCAGCTGAGCAAATAACCGATACATACAGTATGTCTGTTCATCACCAATGCTAAATCCCCTAAAGTTGCGCTTGTAAAGCTGAAGTTGTAAGTTATGCCTTGTCCTAAGCTATACCTAGACCTGTCTGCACTAGAGCAAGTAATCGTTCGTGCGGTGATTAGAAACGCACAGAGTACGACAGCAGACGGTGTGTAGTCAGACCTCGGCGGCTCTTTACTGCTGCATTTGGTGTGGTGATCTCCCTTAGCTTACGCTACCATCCTGTTCTCCGGCGCTGTCGCGTTCGCTGCTTTATCTGATCCTACGAGCCCAAGCCCTGGCGTCCAGGTCCCTCTGGTCATCGTCGCCGTCGTCCTTGTCAGGCCGGTGTTCGTCTCCACGTGATCTTCAGGTATATCCGGTGCGGTCCGGCAAGAACGGCATATAATGCGACCTGCGATTGTGACGATATGTATATGTTTCCGTTCGTAGCTTAGCGCCTGATAGCAGATATGCCGACTGTTACCAACTGTGTATGTCTAATATTGCTATCATAACAAAGTATCGCTACTTTTGTAGGACCAGGTAGACAGCTAAAAGCGAGAAAATCCGAAAGCCCCAAAGATGGCAAGCAGCCGCTACCGACAGGAAAACCAGCCGCAATAACTAACAACGTAGAGTTGAACGGTGGTGGCGCACTAACCCTAACATCAAAACTCGCGAAGACATCCCCTGGAACAGCGTGACTACTGTTTGCTGAGTCCACGTCTGGGCCTGATCGTTTGTTTGTCTCGATTGTTTTTTGCAATTGACTAGTCGCTGAGTTTCGTTCATTTATGACGACGCGTCATCGTGCAATTGCTATTGTGTAAATGAAAGATATCAAACAAAACGACGTAGGATGAAGAAGAGGAAAGGAAACCACTGGAAAATATCTAAGGTGCACATGTGAAATATAAAAGTTTTAAGAGAAACAAGGCCGCGTATACGAGATCGCGAAGGAAGAGCATGCGCTATAAAAAAGGACAAAGTGAATTTTGTGAATGAGCGAAGGTTCTGAAATCGGGCGCATCTCTAAGCCATTGCTATACCACCATCATGATCGGTATAATCGTTATCATCACCACCAGCATCGTTCAGTAAATACACCGGATAGCTCTCGGATTTTTCGTGTACAACCAATTATCACCACTACGACCATCTTGAACGTAAAACACAGGCAATCAGCGCGTCTCTCAGATCGATCGTTGAGAATTGGCCCCTTATCGGTACGTAGTACTTTATAGTGGCACATTTTCTATACCATTTAATCCAAAAGACAACAAAATGTTAGTCAACGTTTAGAATATATGGCCATGATATGACTGATTTGATAGAGAAAATTAGTGGTATTATCAAGGCTCATCTCAGTTGGTCATGGTAGTTACATGTGGTAATCGAAAAATCGTCGTTTGGCCATATAAACAACGACACACCAGATTACCTGATACTGGCCAACATTTCCTTATAGCTTTATCCTCGCTTCCTTGACGCAGTATCCACTCTGTTCTAAAGCTCGCGCGCCTTCTGGCTGCCCATCCCTCAGATATGCCCGTGCTGACAAAAGTTTGCAAGTCGTGAAACTAGGGACGCACGTCATGTACGGCTTGTCAATAATTGCAGGACGGTCAGCTGAATAGACAAAACAAACTGTGCGAATACCACTAACCTCTCAGCCAGAAGACTGTATATAGCCAATATGGAAATTGATGCCCTACAGTAAACACCTAAATGTGTAGTAATGTATAAAATGCTCTAGATACGGAAAATAATCAATTTATCGCGTGCAATCGATACCTGCTTTGGTAATGACCAGATGCACCTATGGGCTTATAGAAATATAGAGCGACCAGCCATGTAGATGAGGAGTCGCTCCTGTTTATTGCTAGCGTATTACGAAGGCACCTTATGAGTCTGGGAGCATGGGAGGTGTCTGACAATACTTTTTCGATTGAACGATACGTACCGTTACAGGGTAACGCAATGTGGGCCAGCTACGCTATCCACTGCTAAGTTTGACTGCCGCACGGTTGAAGGTTCCCATACCCGAAACGTCTTTAAAGCAAAAATGTATGAAGCACCCCCGACGTGATCAACTATACATCGCGTGTAAACAATAGTAATTCAAACCTACAATTTATGCACATACGGGTTTGAAAATAATTATTAGCCCCTCGCTGTGTTCATTCTTACATCTAATTATCGAAGGAGTCACAACAGTTCCTTTAGAATGTTTTAGGATAACATCTCTTAGGCAGTACGAGTCATGGCTCGAAGTTAGTATCATTTGAAAACTAGTGGGTAGTAGATGGGCACAATTCATGCGAATGCCCTTGCTCACACTTAAAATAGAGTGCCTTGAATATGAGCGAAATTTCTATAAAAATATATAATTTTATTACGGTATAGGCATAAATTCTGTCCAGGCTGATAAAAAAAAAGTCTACACTGTATCTAATCAAGGTGCCTTATCGGAAAAAGCCATCTGAAAACTATTTTATCGTGTTCGTTCTGGAACACTCGATGAATTACCATTTATATGAAGAAGTCTGGCTATAGAAAAAAGTCGATCTCTCAATAGACACAAAGGAGCCTACTCCACTGCATTTCCATCTGCAATATTCTATAGAAACACAATGAAATAGAGCCATTTTTGAAGCGGTCGATCACATATGACAAGAAGTGGATAATTATGTGCAAATAATGACAATAATAATAATAATCACTGACACCGAACAAGGTCGTGCTAAGTATCTGCTAAAACTAGGATGGAAACGTGAATTATAGGTTTCTGTTACCTGATTCGTATAGCAACTGTCAAAAAATAACAAAAAGCCATTGAGAAAATCGAGCGGAACAAAAAAGGCGGTGTCTTCCGTGACGATCACACCAGCCCATATACATCTTAAATTACGCGGCGAAACTTGCATAAGAAATTTTAATGGGCATCTGCTGACTAGCCCAAATATAGCCCCATTAGGGTATCGCCTGTTTCGGTCTCTGCAGAACTGCCTTAATGGTGTTAATTGAGTTTCAATGAAAAGACGCAAAGGCCCAGACACGACAGACGTTCTACAGTGGTGGGATCATGGTGTCCTCAGAAAAGTGGCAGGAGGCCACCGTACACACACATATATATTTCTAAGGCTAATATGATATTACGTGTTCATCCCAAGTTCGATTCAATCAGCTCATCCTTACTTCATGGCGGGGATCGGAAAATCTTTTTGAGAACCTATCCAGGTTATCGAGGCTGTCTGCTATTGTTCCTGCTGCGCCTGCTACTCTTGTAGTAATGAAAACACGACCTAAAGTCTTTCGACGTTTGCGTCTTACTCTCTGTTTTCTGCTTCTCAGGCTCGATAAGTATCAAACCAAGTCTGGTGCAGCTCTTGGTGCTGCATTCGTCAATGACAAAGATGCTGATCATAGCGATGATGATTACAATAACGACAGCCGATCTTTCATATATTTACACGCCATAATTAACCAATAGGTGAACCTGAGCACCGGGCTGCTCACTGAGATAGCGGTAAAGGACTCGAAAAATAAACTATCATTTCAACTACAAATATTGGGCTTATTATGACCTTCATAGGATTTCTGCATGTCTGAACTAGGACAAATGCGCCTACGCAAACCCCAATTCAACTGCAAGCGCGAATTTCTTTTTCCTATCAATCTTTTCGCGATTAGTACTTCTGCAGAATTGAACTACAAACGCACAAAAGTAGGGAGATAATCACTGCATCCCGTTATCGATATATTCTATATTCCCGATATAGTCTATCATTGTCTGCCTTTCGCATGGAAACAAACACGATTTTCTTAGAATGGCTGTTAGAAACAGAAGAGTCCTAGTTTAGCGGCAAAATGTATTGTGGGTCTTCTGAGAGCTCAAGAGTCATGCGTACATGTAAGTATATAGCTGATGCCAACTAAGCAAGGTTATATCCAAAAAAAGTAGTAAACACAAAACCTCGTGGGTTGTGTACAGGGACTCGTTATTCATTTCCTGTTTTTTGTCCGCTTTTTTCTATGGAAATGCCCATGTTACTCCAGGACGTAAGCCAAGGGCGGAAATTAGT